AAATCAACATTTTCTTGCCTAAAATGCATAAAGAAAAACCTTTAGTGAATCATTTGTAGCAAAGCTAAAACGTCAGCATGTGGAAAGTTCAGGGCTTTCTGCTGGACTGAACATCAAATTCAACAATAATTATAATATATAAAAAATACAGTGCAGGATTGATGCAGTGTAGGTTATTATATTAAATGATTAATAACTGGACAGCAGAAGGTGCAGTTTAAACCAAGTGAAGCTAAAACGTCCACTATTTACAAAGTTTTTTATTATTATTATTATTATTATTATTATTATAAATGCAAAGTGTTTCTATTTTTTGTACAGTTTTTGCTAAGTTACTGCAAAATGTCATTTGCAGTATTCTGCAGTTAGTGATGAATCAGTTGATGATCATTTCAATAGTTGATCAAACTGTTTTAGCTGCAGTGTTGAGCACTGAGTGCTAATAGATGCTAATAAAATGGTTCTGCTCCGTTTCCATGGAGCCGTGCTGAGGATGGGGGCGGGGCTTTGTGTGATGTTCAGCTCCATGTTAACAGGACTGATGGATTGCATTGATAAAGTGTCTGACTGAATGCATTGATAACGTTCCCACTCTCTCTCTGTTGTTTTGGGCATGGCACTTCTACTCACGCTTACACAGCCACCGTAGAGGCAGAGGAGGCACGAGGTATGCTACCCTTTCTGTCCGTCCGTCCGTCCATCTGTCTGTGTCCAACACTGTCTCTGTCTCTGTGGAACTCTGCCTGTGCTTCTGGAAGCTTCTCTGGAAACCTTAGAGCAGCAGCTGACCTGGAGGGCAGAAACAGGTTCCACGTAGAACCGAGTCTAGAACCTCCACAAAGCAGAAGTAGATCTAGTTCAGAACCTGAACTCCTCTGAGCCGGACCATCCAGAGATGAACTCTGGGCCTTCATCTGTTTATCTGACTAAACCGACTCCAGAACCTTTTTTTGCAAGGAAGTTTGCAGACATAGAAGCCTGGACTTTAACTGGGCCGTTCAGGTTCATTGTCCTGTTGACCCAAATGCAGGCCCATCCCAGCTGGGCAGCCTCCTGCTGTCACTGGGGACGTTCATCATAACACTTATCATTTATCATGGTACATATATTATAAGATTTTTGATTTACTCCCCAAACTGTCCATATTATTAGAATTGTTGGTTTTGCTATTTTCACCATTGAAAGTAACAATAAATTAGAAAATATGTCACAGTAGAGTTCCAGTGTGCAGCCTGGTGGCACAAGTGAACTTGTTGTTTGTGGAGCCGTGCAGTCACAGCTTAACGTGACATTTATCATTATCACAGTAGAACCAGATAAATCGGAGCTGATATTCCACAGAAGCAGGACCTGGTTGACTTCTTCACTGCTGCTCCACCTCCTTTGCTTTTGCCACTCCTCTTTACGTCTCTGTGTGGTCAGAGAGACGTAAAGATACATCCTGCATCATGTTCCCTGGAACGCCATAATTAATGTGAACTCTGCCTGCGTCCTCATTTTAGACCTGAAGTTCATCCGGTTGTTTCCTGCTGCCGTTGAGACGGACGCAGCAGCAGATTGACCGTCTCTCTCTGCATCCATGAAGCCGCGTTTTCAGACTTCATGTGTTACTGAGCTTTTGAGATGCTAATCAGTTGTAGCGATTGTTGTAGAAACAATCGCTTGTTGCCATGGTTACACATCCCTACTGTCCAAAAGTGAGAGCAAAAATCCATCCATCCAGCCGCTCAGCGTCTGTAACCAGAGGGTTGGATTGTCAGAGCCACCGCAGCAGAGCTGCTCCAACCTGCTGCCATGTCAATGATCACAATGATCAATGGGCTCAGAGAACAGAGCTGATGTTTCTCTGATGGAAGAGGACAGTGAAGCTTCCAGATGCTGCAGCAGGTTCTGACAGCACAGAGAAGCTGAATGTAAAGTTCCTGTTTAATGAAACTGACTCTCGTTTCCTCCATGCTGTCTTTGTCTGCTCATGAAGTAAGTTTGTCTTTTGGTCACTTTGTTCATGTTGATGGGCAGCAGATGTCTGAATAATGTCTGCTTCTGGAGCAGCAGTATTATGGGATGGCTGTTGCTGCAGCGCTAATAAGTGGAGAAACAAAATCTCAAAAATCTTTAACATTTTCTTTAGCATTTTTTTTCCAAAACGTTCATTTTTACGTGTTATGCTGATAAAGTTCAGCTTAGTGATTAATCACAGATAGAAACCGCCGTCTGGAGCTGACCTTTGACCTGTCAGCTCAGACCTTCCTAACATGGCTACTGCTGATCCAGTACAAGTCTCAGACTGGTTCTGACTCTGCTGCCTGTACTGTCTGGTTCTGGTTCTGGTTCTGGTAGTGCCTCTCTAACGGACTGCTCCCTCCCTGCAGCCATCCAAGGCTTCAACCCTCAGCATAAGATCCAGAGCTTTGAGGAGGCTCGGGGTCTGGACCTGATCAACGAGCGGATGCCCCCCCGCCGCGACAGCAAGCAGAACGAGGGCCCCCCCTCCTTCAACAACCTGCCGGCCGGCACCGGGCCCCCCGACAAGAACGGCACCAACGCTCAGGCCTAGCTCCCCCCAGCCTCTCTTCCTCTCCTCGTTTGTCCCTCCCTGCTTCCTGTCCCTTGGCCTCCGACCTGCTGGGGGGAGGGGAGGGCGAGGCGGTCCGGTCCGAGTGCTTATTTATTTTCTCATAGAGTAAATATCATAGTATGAGACTGAACCGAGGAAATCTCAAAGCGACCAGGACTGGATGCTTGCTGGTACTCCACACCACACCTCCGTGCCAGCCGTCTTTCTTTCTGTTTTTTTTTTTTTTTACCATTGGGGGAGGGGGAGGGGGGTGCTGCTCATTCAAATGCTGTGTTTGTCCTCACACGCACGCGCACACACACACACACACACACACACACACACACATCCATCGTTTTCTTATGCCAACAATAGTGTGACTGAGCTCTGCGGAGCAAGTATTGACATTTATACTGTATATGGATATTTTAACTGTTCCTGCTTTTCAATGTGACGGTTTTTCTTTTCGGTTTCTTTTGTACAGCACAGAGATGTGGGAGCTAAAGGGTCATTCCGCTACGTTCTGACTCAGAAAGACCTGCTGGGGTCTGCAGGAAATCTAGCAGTGAGATCTGATTACTAAAACTGATCATTGGAAATAAATTAATGTTTTTATTTGTGGAAAAAGAAAATGGTGAAATCATGATGAAATGAATAAATCATGACTTTATCTGGAAGTTGTGACGACATGGGGTCTTCCTGCAGTCCATTCCACCTTCCATCTCATTTCTGATTTCAAAATAAAGGTGGAACTTTTTAAGGATGTTGATGGAATTTGAGGTTTAATAGGAGAGAATTATTCTAAAGAAGAACTTTGATTTGAAAAACATGGGAACATTTTAAAAATGTAATTTACAGCTATTAAATATTCAAGTGGGTTTACAATCTTGTTACAGCCAAACATTTCTTGAAATTGATATTACACAGTAAAAATGTCAAGGAAAGGCCTTTAAATTAAATAAATTCCTAAAAATCTTATTTTAGGAAGCTGTATATTCAGTCAAATAGTAAAAGGTTTTATTAATCTCTGAGGCTGAATAATCTAACAGTAAACGGAGAAAAACAACTTAAATCCTAACATGAGGAGTTCAGGGTTTTCTGTTAAATGTTATTAGCTCTTATGTGGCTGAAAACCAAAGTTTTAAACCAAACCGATCTGAAAACGATGATCTGGTCCCATTTGGTGTGAAGCGTAGCTGGACAGGCTGTGGTGGGATTCTGGAGGGAGGGGCTGGGGGGTCTGAGCCACGCCTCACCTCTCTGAGCGTCTCAGATAGTTTTTTTTTCTTTACAGATAAATTTAACTTTTTTTTTTCATGTACTGCAAGGCCTCTCATTTATGTAGACGTTTCACTCCATTCAATAAAAAAACTGAAAAAATCCATCTTGTGTGTGTGTGTGTGAATCCTCTGCTTCTACCTGCCGACCCTCATGTCTCCTAGCAACACGGAGCCTTTGCATCGCAGCTCGGAGAAGGTCACCATGGTGAAACCTTGAACAGTGCGGGGGCGTTTCAATGCTCCGCAGCCTGATCACCGTCTGGAAACCGTGGTAACCACACACACACTGGGAACATCAGATCTGTGTGTGTGCGTTTGTGCAGGGATCAGAAAGCACATTCAGAGCGGTTACTACAGGATAGAACCTAACAGGTTCTAAACTACATGTGTCAAACTTGAGGCCCGCGGACCAGATGTGGGTCACCATAACTACGTATGTGGCCATCTGGGCTCTAGATGGACTTAAACCTTCAAGTTAACTTATGCTCTTAAATATAATTTCATCAGTCAAATCAAAGCAGTTTTTATCTGTGTACAGTCCAACTTATATCAATGTCAAAAAATGTTCAATATTTAATTTCAAGGACTCATGGAATGCAGAGACAGCTGATTATTTATATTTTAACAGTTTGATTTCTTGTTTTATCAATACATTCAGCCACAACCAGCACTCTGAGGACATTTCTGATTGGCATCTGTTTTCTAGACCATCTGAAAAACCAATTATAATAGGATGGAACGTTGAGGCAGCAAAGGGATATGAATCCAAAGACGACATTAGTGTGTCATGCAATCATAGTTTTTTTTTTTTCTTTTAAGTTTGGATAACTGCGACTTATAACTAATGGAAATCCAGACTTCATTATATCAGAAATTACAACATTGCATAAAGATCTTTAAAACACAAATGTTATGTTGTGGTCTATGCAGTCAGGTAAGGCTTGACGGTTTTCCCACAGCTGTCAGCGTTCTCCTGAGAACATTCTGCACTGTAATAAAATGATGTCCAAATTAAATATGCTCTGTGGAAATATAAAACACGTCAGAAAATGCTGAAGCTTTGAACATAACCATCTGACGTCTGTAATAGGACTATGTGAACTGATCTGAGTTCAGCTAATGGCCCGGACACAGAGAATTAAAGAAAGGACACTAAAAACGAGTTTTCAGTTCAACAGATTTATTCAAGTCATATGACACAAACTGAGCACAGTGTCCTTTACTGGTACCAGTGACACCCTAATGAGCAAAAACCACCCCTTTAATGTGATTAATACTAACATCAGTGCTCATTAAAAAAGGACTATAGTCTCCAACAAAATGGTTCACAGAAAAAACACAATCTATAAATAAAGCTGCCTGAAATAAATAAATTCACAATTGGCTACTGAACAAGGTGAAGTCTCCTTCAGTCGGCCGTCATTCAAGTGATAGAGCAGGAAGCTGTCAGAGTTGGATCAGGAAGAGACTGGACTGGTACCATGAAGCTGCTTCCAGTTTCATGCGAGTTCAAACAGGCAGGATGGCTTCTTTAAATCTTAGATTGCCCTCTTTTGGATTACCTGTGAACTACAACGTGGCAGAGAAAGTCTTACTATTACAACTTAACTGCAAGTAGATTTCCACCCATTCCCTATTCCCTCTCAAACTGTGAACTAGTTCAGTTCTTTCGTTCAGTTCTAACCTTAGCTTGGATGAAGACAGACACTGTCCTGGTGAGCTAATGTGAGTGTTGGCTAAAAAAATTAAAAAAGAAAGCATTTAGGAAAGGTTACTGAAGGATAACTGAGCATTGTCTGTGACTTGAGAGATTCCTTGTCTGTGAAACTTTTCTTTTACTATCTATATTCACTTTAGGGCAACAAAAGAACCTTCTTTTATTGTTTCTCAAACATTTTATTTTTTTACTTTCAGGGACATTTGCTCAAGGTTGCAGCCAACGTTCTAACAACCCTTCCTGAAAATGACAATGTTAAAGGCCATTGTTTTTATTCAGAGAAAAAAAATCTTCCTTTTCTAAAGTTGAGTTCTTAATGGTTTAAGCTTTGGACAACAAGTTAGCTTGTTTTAATGTCCCACATTGGGACGTTGTTTGGGATTAAGCTGTTTACAGAATATTGTCTTTAGTTTTAGGGTCATGCATTTAACACTGCTACCACCACTACTAACAATAATACAGTTAAGGTCAAATTAAAGCATACCTACACTAATTGAAGTATCAGTCAGAATGGCCCACTGATGCTCTGGATGTTACTAAAGGAAACACTTCGTATCCTAATAGAAACACAGTAAATAGTCCAATCGATTTGGTCATGATAAAACTCCAAAAGGTTTTCCTTGTATCTATGTGCATCAGGTTTCATCTGAATATTATTGGCTTCAATTCAGAAGCTGAGTTAAAGAAAGAAGTAGGGCTGGGTGAGGTTCTCACATGCCAACAGGAAGCAGCTGGCTCAGTGAACCGAGAGAATCTCAAAAACAACATCTATAAGTTAAAGAAGCTCACTAACAAAAACTAAACTTTTGGATCTTAGGATTTTTAGTAATTCAACAGAAGCTCATTATTAGTAAGTTTTCTTTACAAGTAAATGCATTAACATATTTCTTTTGCTTCCCCCCCTGTTTCTTAAAGTGTGACGATCAGAAAGAGCTAACACCTCAAAATATATGGTACTGAAAGCGATTAGAATATTGTGATAATATTTCAATATCAATAAATAGATGGAGTGGTTCCTGTGTAAAAGAATCTGACATTTGTGGGATTTTCCTGTAAAGTCATGATTTGTGGTTCTGATTTATAAATCCTTCACACTGTCCCATATCTATGGTGTATGAAGACGTACAGCTTGGACAACAGTCACCTCTCCACATCTAGTACAGTTCAACTGGCTTGCTACATTTTTGAACAATATTTCATGACATTAGAGTCACAGTTCTGAGACACCATTCATGTATTGTACAGAAGTTAAATAAGTTTATACTCAATACAGCTTATCCATATAATAATTTGACTTGATCTCATGTTACATCATGCACACACTCAGTTTGTACTGAAGTCTCAGTTTGCTGGATCTTCAAAGTAGCTCCAATAGGAAGGCAGGTTAAGCAACTTTCTGATCAGTTCAGCTCATAATTATTGTGGTGTTACTGACTATAGAACATTACACTTCATCCTACGATGGTCAGATACTCATTAAGTACGGAAAAAATAATGCATTTGACAATTTATACAATGCGGTCCTTAAGCAGTAACATTCTTCAACCTAACACACACTCTATACAAAACAGTGGCAACACATTTCCTTTATACACAAGAAAGGACTTGTTGTTCATTTGTTCACGTTTTGACCCATGAAAGACTGAACTTTAGATATGCCAACATACACGGCAAAATAAGAAAGTGATGTCATCTGCAGGAAGACATTAAGCTGCCTCTCCAGGCATAAAAACCCCCGATACTCTTAAAGTACCACTTTAGAAATAACTGACACAAAAAGAACTATGGGGAAGGAAAGTAAGTGTAACACACAACAATAAGTCTTGGATGGACATAAAGGAGGTTTAACAGACTGAGGGACTCCTGTAGGAAGCAGCTACTGGTCAGCAGTCGGCCTCTTTTCAACCCACAGATTAGCAGCAGCTTCACAGTACCAGGAAACCTGAGTTCCTCCTACAGATAACAGCTGATCTCTCTTCAAGATGGTGACCTCTGGAAGTGTAACTCTGTGAGACTAAATGTCACATTAACAATGGTGATGATGATGATGATGATGATGATGATGATGATGATGATGATGGTGGTGGTGGTGAAGGATATATGATAGGAATGGTTTGCAAGCAGTGGGGGTTATAAGTGCAGTACTGGTAACATGTCAGAGCATCGCTTAAGTTTAGATCTGAGCACAACTCGTCGTCATCAGACGTTCTGATCCAGTCTTCCAGGGATGGGGGCTGTTAGTGGGGCAGGGGTCTGCTGATCTGCTGATTGGATAGCTGACGTTATGGCCTGTTCTTTGGCTCCTCCTCCTTGCAGAGGAGAGGCTTCATCAAGTATTGGTTGGGAATTAGGTCACTTCCTGTTAGAAAAGCGAGGCTTTTTTCTTCAGTTCGTTTCGTCTCCATAACGACAGGCGGTCAAACTCGCCGATGGGCATCCCGAACACCTCCTGGAACTCCTCCTGGGAGAGATGCCTCTGTCAGGACAGGAAGGACCCAGAGTTGGTTAAAGTGCCTTCAGCTAGCGGACGAGCAGGACGAGCTTTAATCCACATCCAAACCTTTACCCCTGGAGGCCAAGACTGGTCAGTTTAAATTACTATGGGGTCACTAAATTCATTCATTTAAAAAAGCAAAAATTAATTTGTTTTATCTGTGCAACAATAAACAACATATGTTATGAAATCTGTATATAATTAAAGATTCACAACTTTAAACGAACTCCAGACTGTTGCCTTAAATCTGGAAACTGACAGTTTCCAAATGATCTGGTTCATCAATTGTTTTCTATTTTGTTGGCAAATTTTATTTGTATTTTTTACCATTCTTGAGTTGTGGTCAGGGGCCAAACAAAATCATCTCATGAGCCACAGATGGCCCTGGAGTCACACTTTGAACACCCCTGACAGAGTGTTTGATTCATTTTATTTTGTTCTCACAAGCTAAGCTGCCCCCAGCGGGCGGATGCTCACCTCCAGCCGGGTCCGGTCCACTCCAGGGGGCAGCTTACAGCGCCCTCTGTGGGTTACAATCAGGGCTTCATATGGATAAATCTGAACAGAGAGCAGAACATTCAGCCGGTCATTTGCTTTCCTTTAGTAGAGTCAAAATGGAAGCATAGGATGGCTGAAGCTAAACCTCAGTGTGTTTTAATGGGATGTATTCTGTATCAGAGGAGACACATGGTTGAATCCACTTCAGGAGAATATGGAGTGGCATTAAAGCTGCAGGATGTAACTTTTATAAAAAATTTAAAAAATCAGTTTTTCACATATTTGTGAAAACTGTCACCACAGTAACAGTGACAACATGAGACCATCAAGTTGTGAACAAAAACTCCTCCACCACCTCCTCCCTAATCGACTACTACTGTCTGAAGAAACGCACCACTCCATCAGAAACAACCAATCATAGGCAGGAGGAGGGCCTTAGTGCTGTCAATCGTGCTCATATACTTGCTGCTCAAATACTTGCTGCTCAATTTGCTAATGGTGGAGAGACATCTCACCATTACAGGAAATTTATCCACTATCATCTTGCAGAGAGCAGGGGGGAGGTTCTGAGCAGAGAGTAAATGAGGGTGATTGACGGCGCTAAGACCCTCCTCCTGGCTCTGATAGGTCGTGTCTGACCGAGTGGTGAATTTCTGCAGATGGCATAAGGAGTACAGGAAGGAGGTGGAGGAGTTGGATCTTTTTCATAGATTATGTTTCATATTGTGTTGAGAAGACATGGTGGCAGTTTTAACAAATATGTAAAGAAAATATATTGTTTATAAAAGTTGTTTGAAGGTTGTTTGCATATGGAGGAAGGGGGTCTGCTCAAAGGAGACTGAACTGTTACCATCCTCACTATGAAACATGATAGAGGCAGCATCATGCTGTGGGGATGCTTTTATTCAGTAGAAACAGGGAAGCTGGTCAGAGCTGATGGACAGATGGATGGACATACAGAAGAGCTCCTAATGCAGAAGGTACTCACATGATATTCTTATTCTAGGACGAGCTAGTCAAAGTCCACATCTAGATCCAGCCTGCAGTCTGCGCTGTGGCAGGACTGGACCATTAATATTCACAGTCACTCTCCAAATCTCAGTGGAATAAGTCATGTTTGCAACCTGACAACATTTTTAAACCTTTTTGTGCTGTACTGTGTGTGTGTGTGTGTGTGTGTGTGTGTGTGTGTGTGTGTGTGTGTGTGTGCATGTAGGTGTGTGCGTGCGTGTATGTATAAGTATTAGTTACTATTTATAAGTTCTACATTTCCATCAGTAGGCGAAGGAAAATTAGGGAAATGTAGTTCCCTTCACTTTTTAATTGTTTCCCTTTAAACACGTTAAAAGTTTCTTTTTAATTTGTTTCCAAAGAAATTAACTCAAAGCATTGACATGCATAAGAAATATGTTTTGTACTTTTTGTTTCTTAGAAGGCAGTGAAATCATATCCATCTTCTCAGTTATTGAATCTCATTCCACCAATCACCCAACAAGGTACAAATTTGATTCCTGTTTCTCCTGATTGCTGGTAAAGTGACTTTACATTTTAAAATGTAAAAGCCTTAATAATTGGAGCTGGCTCTGAGATCAGTGTTCATGAACACAGACCCAGAGGCTGGTCTGGATTTAACCCTTTCAGCAGGTCTCACCTTCTGCTCCAGGATGCTCGGCAGGGAATTCCCTCTATCCATGCGATCTCTCCGGCTCTCTCCATTCTACACACACACACACACACACACACACACCCACACACACACACACACACACACACACACATTTCAGACACACCCTGTCCAATAGCTGCTAAAATATGAACTACACAAAGAGTATGTCAGAGGAAGCTGAGCAGAGTCACACTGTTAGAGTCCTGTTAGGTCCTGAAGCAGCTAAAGCTGAAGGTTAGCTGTAGTTTCTTGAGTTCCTCTTCAGACTGCATGTTTCACCTCACAGAAACATCAAGTTTAATGTTCCAGAAACTAGATGTTTCATATCATAATTTAAATGGAAAAGATCGATTGCTTGTGTTGCTACACAAAAATAAGCTAAGTAGGGCTGCAACTAACAATTATTTTAATAATCCATTGCTTTATCAATTATTCTGTTGATTAATTGATATTGATGTGACACTCAATTAATCTGAGAAAAAATTGTCAAATTCTGTAGATTTTTTCATTTACTCACTTAATAAGCATATTTTATGCAATATTAAAAATAAATTTAAAGATGCAAATAATTCACTTCATTTTAAAAAACATTTTATTGTATAAAATGCAGTAACAGAATTCCTTTAGCATCACTTGATCATTTGTAGCAAACGATGCATCTGCAGCTAAAGGCCTTTCTACTGGACACAGTGTAGGGCTGGTCTGGTGATTATGTCTCTGATTAATTAATTATTAATTGGATAGTAAAATGTGGTTGATAGGAGATTGTTTTTTCCTACAGAATTTGAACCAGGTGAAACGAAAACTGACACTTGAGGAGTTCTGGATAGAACATATTTACAGAAAAATAAGTTTTTGTAAAATGTATGTATTTTTGTACAGTTTTGATTTAATTGCTGTTCTGAATGTGTTGTTTCAGGAAATGGCCATTTTTAGAGCCAGTTAATGATTAATCAAGTAGTTGATGGTTATTTCAAAAATCAATAATCATGATTAATCCGATTAATCCAATTAATTGTTTCAGCCCTAAAGTTAGGTTTGCTTTACTGCCTAAAATAAAAACATGTCTTAGCTAGATGTTTCTCTTGAACATGAGACAGAAACACAGAAAGCTGTGAAAGAACTGAAAACATAGACATAACACAGTAAATAAATGATGACTCAGTTAGAAAAAGAAATAGTGAATGAAAAGTTAAACTGAAGCAATAAATAAATGTACCTTTATACACCAAATAAATGAACATCTTAAGAGTAAAGAGTTGATTCTTTAGGCTTAAGTATTCTCTCATACTCCATCCATTAAAAGCTGGCCAAATGGGGTTCAGACTGGTTTAGAAGTGGTTCAGAAACATGGTGTGAAAAGATTGGTGCAGCGGGTCAGCAGCAGGGTGTTGACATGGCCATGCACATAAGCACACACATGAACACACACTTACCTGAGCAGCTGCAGGACACCAGGACAGAAGGAGGAAGGACACAGAGAGGTTGAGAACAGGAAGTCATCATCACAGAGATTCATCGGGACTAGAGGTATTCCTGAAACTTCCCTTCTAAATAAAGTTCCTTGCAAAAGTATTCACACCTCAGTATATTGTCCATATATAGTATGGATATGTTACAACCACTAATAATCTAATATGAGCCAGCATAGAGCTGGGAAGTAGAAGGAATCTGTGCATAGTTTACAAACCTTATTAAAGTTTGTGGTTCAAAGGTTAGCTACTACTTTTGCTGCTATAATAACACCAACAGGAGAACACGTATAAAGTGGCTATATATACTTTTGATTAAGTAGCTACAAAATTTTAACCCAATTAATTGTAATTTTCCTATTTACATGCATAAGTCCAGAGCCGGAACCTTTGTATTTGCCTCTGGTATGTTTAAATCTGCTGCAGAAGCAACATCCACAAACAGCAGCAATGGACAACATAGAGGTTTCTCTATGTTGCCTGAGGGTCCATTTCTGCATCAAAATGATCTGACTGGACTGCTGTTGTGTTCAGGTTGTTCTAAAACGCTCCCACCTGGCCGTCCTTTATCTCCATCTGTAGAAAACTCTGCTGACTGCATCTAAGGACAGCAGAACAGGAAGCATTCAGGATACCAGGAGCAAATATGGAGGCTGATGTCTGACGCTGCTGGCCTAAAAGCCAGCAGTAACACTCACTCTGGTCAGGGCGGAGCGGGACGGAGACTTTGATGCACTGGCTGACACACCTGATGAGGAGAGGGAAACAGAGTGGGGTCTGACCGGTTCTTCAGCTGGAGCGGAGACGTGTGAGACAACCGATGGACTCACTGCTGTGCATGTGTGTTCTGTCTGGCAGAGACTGTGTCTTCCTCCTGATGTGAATGCTTTTCTCCTTCTCCTCCTTCAGGATCAAACGGCCCAGGTTGGACTTGATCTGCAGACAGAACACAGCCGGTGGTGGAGGATAAAGCAGAACACTTCCAGCACTGCTCACAAGTTTACATACATGCAGCCTTTGAGCTGCTATTTTCCAGGGTTATTATTCAGCAGCCTGGATTCAACATTTTTCAACATTTCTTAAGACAGCAGTTTGAGGCACAAGCTGGAGGTTATTGGGATTTTCACTCATCCAAGTGAAAATTATACATACAGGCTGAAACATGCAATTGCAATAATGTCTCTTTTTTTCCCTTCAGTTCATCAAACTGTTCCCAGAATCCTTTGAGAGAATCTTGGCCACTAAAAGAAAACTTATGGTCAGAGTCAGAAACACTTGATCATTGAATAATATAATATTAAATTGAAATTAAATAAATCTTCCTTCAGCTACACTCCTAACAATATATGCCTGTAATAAGCTAGCTAGGATGAAAAACGGTTTTCTACCAAACATTAGAACTGGTTGTGCAGCTAAAGCTGCCATTGACTGTTTCTGATTTCCACAAAAAGCCAGAATGGTCTTTTGTGGAAAGTTGTTCTTCATCATTTTGTAAAAGCTTTTCACACCTATTCAGGTTATATTTGATATTAAATATTATTATATCTGATACTAAGATCGGTTTGATGACTCAAAAGAATTTAAGCATGGCAAGAAAGTCAGTCAATACTTTTTGATGTTTCTATATCTTTCACAGTAAAAGTTCCATATTTTCTACCTAAATGCTGTTTTTAAAAGTTAGCGTTTGCTCTACATTGATTCTCCACTTGTAAAAAAACAAAACACAAATAAAAGAATCAGGTCTAATGAATCAACTTAAAGTGTAAACAGTCAGGATGGGTCCAGACCTTCTCCAGCTCCTGCTCCTGCTGTTCCTGCTCTTCTTCTGTCACGACTTCAAACTCATCTTCTTCCTGAAGTTTCTTCTTCCTCCACTCAATCTCTGTGAAGGTCATCATTGTTAAAGATGCTCACCATGAGTGGTCACTATAGGAATGATAAGTGTGTATTTTGTGTGTGTGTGCCTGTGTGTGCGTGTGTATGCGTGCGTGCGTGTGTGTGTGTGTGTGTGTGTGTGTGTGTGTGTGTGTGTGTGTGTGTGTGTGTGTGTGTGTGTGTGTGTGTGTGTGTGTGTTACCCATAGCAGCCAGTGAAGGTGGGCAGGGCCAGTACTCTGTCTCAATCTTGGAGGGCTGGTTGGGGTCTGGAGGCTGGGCGGCGGGGAACTTGGCAGACTGAATGACCCCACTGCCCTCTGACGGTTTGTTAAGGTCTGCGGGGCGAACAGCATCTGAGTGACAACAGCAGCAACAACAACAACAGCTTCATAGAAAAAAGACAGAAAAAAAGACAGAGAGAAACAAGAGCTCACCATGTTTGTAGATCGGAGGCTTCCTGTAGATGTTGGAGCCATTATCTGGAAGTTCAAGAGAAGAAGAACAGCTTCTGTTATCAGATTTATCAGATTTACAGTCTGTGGCAGCAGGAGTGTTTGATCAACACCACACACGTCAGTAAGAACTGCTAAACAAATATTAAATTGTTAAAACAACAACATATATTTCATTTATTGAGCTCTACCTAGAAAAAAAAGTCATCATTGAATGTACTGATACTGTCTTTAGTGTTAAGCTGCAGCTGGGTTTACTTTAGAGTTGTGATGGGAAGTTGCTGCAACGCCCCATGGTGGATGACAGAGGAACTACATGAAAGATTAAAATTTCCAGGATCAAAGAAGACAACATGTCCTTCTAGTATGTATTTGCTGCTTTTATAGTTTTATAGCTCATGTTAGCATTTTAATGAGTATTGAGGGTTTTATACACATTCATCCCTTTCTACCATTGCATGACATTGGACCTGATTCAACACGACTCATCTTGACGGCTCACTGGGTTGCTGGGCCCAACAATTTAAAGTAATACCAGTTATGTCAGGTTGTCTTTCATTTAGTGTGGGGGCTAATATATCTTTAACCAAAGACAGCACTGCAGATGTTCTCTGGATGGAGTCAGTGAGGAATCCAGAAAATAGCCACATTTATTATGTCTGTGCGAGTGTATTTGTGTGTATGTGTGTGTGCGCGCACTAGTTACCTGGTCGATGGAAATGCTGCAGGCTGGTGCTTATCTTGCGACCTGCCTGCAGTTGCAGCGTGGATCCTCCAGGGGAGCCACTGTCGCTCTCTGCTCTGCGACCTTTCACCTGAACAGGAAGCAGCAATCAGATTAAACAGATGAAGCTCTCTCCACAGTTGCAGGAAACAATATCCATGGACAGGCTGGGATGGCTACAGTACAATACTACAGATGTATTCTGGGTAATTCAAAACATTTCTAACAGACAAAAAGTGTCCAACACTTTGACACAAAACTCAGACCTGTTTACACTGGTTTATGGTGTTGGAAGAAAAAACATTAAAAAAAATAAATTCTTTTTTTAATTCAGACACAAATTATTTGTGTCGTGGGAAATCTCAACAGAATGATGCTCAGCTCCAAAATAAAAGTGCTGTTATATATTGCAGTAACAGTTACTATGGACTGAGGAGTTCTATTTCCCGTTTGCTTCAGTTCCCGGCCCTCCAGGCAAACTGCAAATCAGTGTCACATTTCTTTATGAGCAACACAAAGCAGCAATTGATGGTGAAGAATCTGATGAAAAAAATCTGAATGAGTGAAACGACCAAACAGCTGAGGGCAAGACCTTCAAGTGAGGCGTGGGACATATCAGAAGGGTCTCCAGAGGGTCATCTACTGTGTGAGAAACATCACAAAATGACCAAAACAGATTTTTACCAAAATACTCATTTACATGCAGTAAGACTGAGTACAGCAACAAGAACCAACAGGAGTTGCAGAGGCACAGAAACAAGACAACTAAGAAGAAATCTGTCAAAACTCAGTTTCTACAAATAGTAAAAATATCAGTTTACTAGAAAATAATAAGATATTTATAAAGCAGTTCCCAGACCACCCCCAAAAAAACATGTTCACATAGTAACCTACTTAGCTGATAAGGCTAAAATGAAGCCAAATATTTATGTGTTTGGAGGTTTCTTGGAGGCAAACAGAAAAAAGTAAAGTCCTGAAGGATGCCACATGCTGACTGTGCAGTACTACAAGCTAATGCTACAGCAACTTATAAAGGTCAATAAAGCTGCATCTGCAACAGTGAAGCACTTAGCCTCCCAGATGACATAAGCTAAAGCTAACACTACTGTTATCTGTTTAGCTTCACGGACACGGAGAGCTATTATGGTAATCTGACAGTCGGTTTGTGCTCCCATGTCAGGATGTGCTTCTTACTTGCAAAGTTCTGAACCACACAGTGCTCCGATCTACTGTGGTACCAACTACTGAAGGAAAATAATTGAGCCAACAGCTCTAACAGATCCTTAACACTGAAGCAACAAAAGAAACCAGTAACCCCCCTCCGCTACCCCAAAAAACAGAAACATGAAACATTTCCCGTGGTATCAAAAAGTAACAGTTTTTCTCTTTGAAATTCTATGAAAGGTTTGTCTTTGAATAAAACCAGGAGGCTGGCATCAGGTATGGCTGAGAGAACATTTGAGACACCTTCCAGCAAGAAAATATTCCTGGAGTGGATCAGAAATGCTAAGACAGCGTCTATAGCAACATAAACAAACTATTAAAGCAGAGGAGAAGCAGAAATCATTACTGAAGTATAATCTGCTGCACAGGATGTACCACTGGCAACTGGCTGAAATTAAACTTACGGGTATAGAATACCCAAACAGTTCCAATCAAACAAACAGCCAGCACACTGTGCAGAAACTTGAATATCTCTGTGTGGATATAATTATAAATATTTTATGTATATATGTGCAGTATGGTGCCATAGTTGTCTTGCAACAAAACAGTCCTGGACTTGAATCAACGTTGGGGCCTTGCTGTATGTTCTCATGGACACATTCATTTTTTTCTAGGAATTCCAGGTTTTTCCTTACAGTTCAAAAACATGAACTACAGTAAATGATCACTGGGACAATGCATGCATGGCTTTCTGTCTGGAGTTGAACTGTCCAAGGTGTATCCTGCCTCTCACCCATTGACTTCTCAAGGCAGAAAACAGTGATGACAGTGGGAACAAAAAAGTTACAATTCACGACTTAATCTGAAGCAAACACATCAGAGGAAGACATAAACTGTAGCATCTATACAGCTTGTAGCAGATCCTACCTCAGGAGACCTGGAGGGAGACATGGCAGGAGGGGACATAGAGCGCTGCAAAGACAAAAAGATTACCACTTAATGGTTAAGTACTCTGGTACTAATTCTCTAAACCTGTAGAAACATTACAGGTGTAGAGCAGTCTAAGTGTACTTATGCATGCAAGGTAAGCAGGTCTCCCATTACTGCTACCCATGTAATGGTGTGTGTGTGTGTGTGTGTGTGTGTACCTCTCTGCGTGGCGGGTCAAGTGGTGAGAAGCTCAGGTGGGGCTGATAGGTCATCAAGTCGGGCCTTTCCACCTGCAGGATGGCTTTATCTCTGGGCAGTGCTGCAAGGTCTTTGTAGCCAACCATCTGGTCATTCAGACGAGCCTAAGCACACACACACACACACACACACACACACACACACACACACACACACACACACACACACACACACACACACACGCACACGCACATAGAGTATTTCACTGCTAGTAAGAGGAATGTGTTGCAGACAGAAGATAGAGGAATTTCAGCAACAACAGCAATTTGTATGCAAGTGGCTTTGAAGAACACGAAGTCTGCAGCATACAGTCTCTGAGATAGACTCAGGTAGTCTATGAAGCATTTATTATCATGAAACCCAGAACTAAACCTGACGTTGCATCACTCAGATCCTGCACACAAAGAAAACCTGACAGAGATGTCTATTTTTCCAAATGAAAGAAGGAACATGTCTATGTTGTATTTACCATAATGCCAGTGGCAGGAGACCCCGGAGCGCTCGGGCCCCTAGATGATGGAAGGTTAACAGGAGTTACACGCCCCTCCACCTGCAAGAACAGTCAGAAACATTCAGATGTTTCAGCTGGTTCCAAACTCACAAGTCCCAAACATTTTTTTCCCTTTTAACTGTTACTGATGATACAGGAAAATGAATTACCTTTTGCATGGCTGTAGAGAGACTGCCCTTCTGCTCAGTTTAAACCAGCTGGGGGAGGATAGGAGGACAGACAGTGAGTCAGTGACATCTTCCCTTCCCAACATGTCACCAGAGCCTGGCATTTTAGCATGAATGAGTTCTGGACTGACTCATTTAGATCCTGATTCTGAGTGAGAAGCATATTACGACATTTTCTTCCCACAGCTGAACATCATGAAGGGTGAGATTTTAAAAAGCTCTCTGTTATTATCCAACAGCAAAACAGCCTGGCTTTTAACCAGAAACAGGAAGCAACATAGAGACACAGTTACTTAAAAACATTCGTGCTAGAAGAATGTAAGACACCATGTGTTCATGAAAAAGACTGATTGAAAGGTTGGCTGACTAGTTGTAGCAGAGAATATCCATGTTTGATTCCTTCCCTTATAATTTGTCAGGGGGAAAGAGAAAAATGGTGGCATAAACCAGACAATTTTCTTATGTTTAAGCTTTTTCCATGGAAAAGCTTTTTCCATGGAAAAAGCTTAAACATAAAGTTTAACAGCATTTTTATTATTATTTTATATGTTGAGAACTGTAAAAAAAAATCTGGCAAAGGCAAGTTTAGTGACTGATCAGTTTTTGATCAAATCAACCAGTTAATATTTTGTTCTCAACAATGGCAGCAGATGTCATTTTGTTATTTACACTTTGTTATTCTGTACTTCGGCAGCTTGGCTCATTTTGTACATGCTGTGGAGAATTAGCCATTCTCCATGCTGAGTTCTTGATGTGTGAAGTTAAATTAGAGTCAGTGAGTTGAATTCATGAATTCCATTTATTAATACCAAAATACAGATGGTCCATTTCACATGCTACCTTTAAGAGCTAGCAAGACAAAAATGGCACCCAAGAACAGTTGGTGATCTGCTTTGTTAGCCTCTGTCTAAGCTACGCCCCGAAGAGGGCGTTACCTAGTGAGTCATCCCTTACCCCTAGCTCTCATTTGCATTTCCTAACATGTAATTTCCTTTATGTTTAGCTTAGCAACTAGCTAACAGATAGAAGAAAAACACAGAATTATTTATTCTCAATAATGATCGGATCGATAATTCATAAATCATTTTCTAGAATCTTTTTACATGAATCATAAGTTTATTTCACAGTGGGGGAGTCGGCATTTGATTCCAGGTTCTTCCTGCCACATGTTGATGTGCCACTGGGTAAGACACATGATGTTGGCAAAACCTAATAGGATTAAATATGACGTGTGTGTGTTTAGTTTCTTATAAGCAAAACACTGAAGTGATGCTCTGATTGTTAAAAAGGATTTAAAATTTCAACAATATTTCCTATAATCTTGTCACAAACACATCCATAAGTCATTGCTAAATGCCTTGCTAAGCAGCATTAGTGGATGCTGTGCTCCATCTGAGCTGTGTTACAGAACCAGCACTCCAGTTTCAAACCTTCATTCTCACATGGACAGTTTGTCCCTGAGGTGAACGAGGACACAACGGGGCAAGGAGGCTGAGACGCCATTGAGTCAGTTTCAGGGCTGGCTGTTATCCGAGCCTCCTCTAGGGACAGCTCAGGGTGGATGAGTGGGGGGGAGGCGCTGCGTTCACAGTAACTACACCTTATATCTTAAGAACATGAGGGCCTGTCTGCTAATGCTTCGCCGAGGGGTTAAAGCTTCCAGACTTCCTGTGAAGCAGCTTTTTTCATTTGCCTCCCTCCTCCCCTCCTGTTTATCAGCTCCTCCAGCCGGGCCAACGCCCAGGCGCTCCTCAACTGTTACTGCTGTGGTTACACTCCTCCCTCCAGAGGGACGACGGAACACAGCCAGCAGCATCCAGCAGCTCATGTCTGCAACCTAAAGCTGCTGAGGTATCAGCCAGAGAGGAGCTCCCTGCTGGCCTCACCTGACCCCAACCTGAGCAGACCGGGAAGAATCGTTCACCAGACACTGTCTGTCAAAATACCACAACACTTCACGGTGAACAAGCACCTCCATAAACAAACATTATACCAGGAGAAGAAGAGCTGGAGGAGGAAGAAAAAAAACAAAAGGTGTGTTTGATGCTAAGGAGGTTATTTGACTATTGGAGTAGGAATCCATCTCAAACTGTTGGATTAAAGCTAAACTCTCAATGTTAGCTCAGGTTAGCATAAAAATGAAAATTAGCTTGTGTGCAGGGCTGGAATGATTAAAAATGAATACATTTTTGAAATAATCATTAATTAATTTAGTAATCAATTAATCGTTAACTGGTGGATGCAAACTCAAAACACTCATTTGTTAAAAAAATGACATCAGAGCAGTAATTAAGCCAAAACTGTACTAAAAACATCTACATTTTGCAACTGAGCTAAAAAATAAAAATAAAAAAAATGTCTTTGTGTAAATGTCTTCTGAACTCATTAATTCGGAGCTTTAGCTTCACCTGGTTCAAATTCTGAAGAAAAAAAAAAAACACCTTTTCCTGTCCAGTTATTAATCAGTTAATCCAAAAAAAATAAATAAATAAAAATCACCAGATCAGCCCCACAGTTTCACATGGTGATGTTTTAGCTGCAGATGCATCCTTTGCTACAATGATAAGGTGTTCACTAAAGGAATGCTGTTAATTAATTTTAAGCAATAAAATGTTGATTTTGTTGTTTAAAACAGGAATTTGTTTATTTGCATATTTTAATGTATTTCTATTATATACAAAAGGGATAAGTTGTTGAATAAAAAATCTGTGGTATATGCCATTTTTTAGTCCAAAAAATCCATTCATTGTCACAACAATTGATAGAATAATCGATTATTATATTAATTGTAGGTTGCAGGCAGCCCTAACTGTGTGTCAGAACATCACATCTGTAAGCATCAGTAACACACACATCCCAGCAGCTGTGTTTTGCAAATTTAAGTTTCTATGGATAACTTTTTGTTTATGTCATTTCTTTGTTGTCACTATTTAATCCATGTGGTGAATTGTTTCCATAGCACTTTTTCTGTATCTTTTTGGTCATTTAAATTTTTTTTAATAATTTTTTTTTATCAGTGTATGTGACTGCACTTGTAGTAGCACTGGTGCTTTGCAGAAAGAAGGTTCTGGGTTCGAATCCCAGCCTGGGGTCTTTCAGCATGGAGTTCACATGTTCTCCCTGTGCATGTGTGGGTTCTTCCTGGGTACTCTGGTTTCCTCCCACAGGAAACAGTCAAAAACATCCATGTATTACTTAGAATCTTTAAACTTCCCTTAAGTGTGAGGTGAAGAGTTGCATTGCCCTGTGATGGACTGGCACCTGTCCAGGGTGAACCACACCCTTTGCTCCATGACTGCTGGACAGACCCATCAGTTTTTGCTTGTTGCCGTTTTTATTTTTTAGTTCTTTAGTCTATGTGTTGTCACTTCCTGTGTACCGTCATTACGCCTCCTTGTGTTTGGTGGCTCAGTTCTGTGCAGGCTTCTCGCTCTTTGGGCCTCTTTAAACATTGCAAAGCAGAAGATTTTAGTTTAAATAATCTATAATCAATAGGAATATCGATTCCCTGTTGTTTCCCCTTTGTATATTAAGGTTTAAAACAACCAAAAGTGAAGCAACAAAGATATGTTTGGGTCATTAAATCCACACTAACCTGTAGCTGGTAACTGTAAAGTGGGTAAAACTACTGAGTAATAATGTGTGTGTGTGCCTGACAGTGATCTAAGCAGCTGCAGTCTGAGTGTCTGTACGGCTGATAGTCTTATCACCGAGAGCTTTTAGCTGCCAGAAAGCCAGTGATGGAGCTCGGCTCAGGGTGTGTGTGCTCCATAATGGGACACACACTTACAAGAGACCGGCTGAATGTACAAAGTCAGGCAGGAAGGATGTTTCCCACATTACTGGGTCCATTCAACAACTATAGTCCATCTATGAATACTGACCAAGCTTAGTGAAATCCTCTAATCCACCAAAAACAGTCGCTTCATCTGTACATGTTTCATTTGTTTTCACAACATAAAAAACTGAGACCAATTTATGTTGTTACTTTTAATTTGATTAAAACAAGATTGTCTGTTTCAACTCTGCACTAAAAGATGTCTGGGACAGAATTTTTTTCTCTATGGTTCAAATCTTTCGATTCTGCTTCACGGATATCAGCAGTCACCATGTTTAAACACATTTTTTAGATAATGTGTTCATCTAAAAACAATCTAGATTGTGCTTATATTTTAGAAGCAAATGAAATTTGAGACAATTAAATGCATGTGATCTATCTTTGATACATGAAAAATGAAATGAATTAGATGTGTTTTCAAGAACTCTTGGTATCTTGTGAAAAAGATTTGCAGCTTTTATGTTTCATTTCACTCAACTTTCAGTTCTTTTGACCTTAGTTTTCAAAGTTTTGAGTGAAAACTAATCAAGGTTAAAATTTTATAGTTATAAACAATTTCTTTATTTTGTTCCTTTAGCTCTCCTGAACTTTTAACATTTAATTAATAAATATTAAAAAACAGATTTATATGGAAATGGGATCGCTAACCATTTCTTTGAATCCGTAATCTATCATTCCTCACCCTGACATCTGAATTCAGCATGAATGAGTTACACAAACCTCCCAGTTTAACCCATCAGGAAGGATCCCGTTCCCCGCTGCTGCAGCCTGAGGTCTGCGGGTTTGGTGATGGCAGCAGCAGGGTGAACATCTTCTGGAGATGTTCGAACCAGACAAAAGCCCATGTGAAGGCCTTCCCCTCACAATTAGATGCGATGTACTGCTAAAGTGACGTTTCAACACATCTAATTCATTTTGTTCGGTCCACCTGATCCCCGAGCAGAACCCCCGCCACGAGGCCCGGAACCTTCACCTGCACGCGCAAACAAGCCCCATTTGGTTTGTTTTCCGGCGATAAACGACGGTGAATAAGAGGCGCGCGGAGGATGCTGCGGGTTATGTGCGGGATGCGGGGATGCGGGTGACGAGAGAGGAGGAAGGACTGATGAAAGAACAGACGGAGAAGACGGTCCTACCTGGAAACAGCGGCCCGAAGCTCAGAGTGAAAACATCCAGCAGAGAAGCCGAGCCGCTCGGAGCGATGCAGGAGGAGGGAGAAGAGGAGAGGAGGAGGAGGAGGAGGAGGAGGAAGAGAGGAGGCTGTTTTCCTGTTGCTCTGTCGTGGGCCGGTCCACTATGTGCTGAAGGGGGGAAGAGAACAAGCAGCAATGTCCCCCAGTGGGCACGCGCTCCGTCCTCCTGCAGCTCGAGCACGGTCACCAGTCACAACTCAGGCATGTTTACGTCACCAGGCTGCTGTCCCTGCGCGGGATGTCCTGAGATGGGACGAGCCCATCATACAGCAGTGAGGCGACAAACAGTGGGACTCTATGGAAAGCCACTTTTGCTTTAAATCTGGCTACAAAGGTCACATAAAAAACTCGTGACACCATTCCATGACGCCTGATACAGCGTTCAACGACCAGAATAAATGCCAAAATGTTCACTATTCAGAAGATAGTGTCAAACGGCGTTTTGAAGGGATTTTACAGCGTGACTTTTATCTAGACATTTAATAAAAGTGACACTTTTGACTTTCTATAGTACCTAGCTTGAAGGTTTCCTTTATTAGGAGATATGGCTCTCTGCCCAGGATGGCATAGCTTCAGGGGAGTGATGGGATGGTTAATTCCTGAACATTTGCTGAATTGGCAAGAATTATACAAACCGCTACTTCTATCAAGTCAAAGTTAGGTTTTACCAAGCCCCGCCCAGAAACGCCCCTCGACAGTCCCACGTGGCTGCATGTCTCACAAACAAAGCCTTGCAGGGCTTAGTTTCTATGTGTAAACATGGCGTCTTTCGTTTCAACTGACTCTCTACGAAGTATTTCTGGGTCGATTAGTGTAGCCTTTCTGCCGGATTTTCACAAAATATCAGCCACGACAATGGACAGGGGAACCAACAAGTTCATGTCATCTTTTTTGGACGACATCAAAGTGTTTGAGCCACGCGCTGCCTCCAACATTGTGCGCGTCGCAGCTAAATGCTACCGATCAATGAGGAAAACAGCAGATCCTCACACCTCAGCATAAATATAGCTGTGGACAAGATCACTGATGCCTATTTTTCTTGCAAGGCTGGGTAAGTCGGGCATTCATGGTTTTGAGGGTTACTGTTGGAATCAGTGATTTCTGTTGTTGGCAAATGTTTGAGTGTGCCTAGGCCTGTTACTCGGTGCTAGCGTGGCTAACACGATTAGTTTAGTAAAAAGCCTTTTCAGGTCAAATAAAATCTTTAATGTATGTCAGATACGGTACACATTGCATGTTGATCTGTTCAGCTAACGTAAGACTGTGTAACAGACAGGATTCAAGGTGTGAAAGTTGTATTGGTACTGCCATTATGCTGTACTTAGCTAAAAGGTTTTCATAATGAATGTGTTTATTATTGACTTTCCTTCAGACTTGGGGGTCATTGTTCACACATTATAGGCCTCCTTATGACCTTACAATATTTCAAGCATCAAAATTCAAAAGGGATCGGGAGGTGCTGGTGCCTATCTCTAGCTAACGTTCCGGTGAGACCGGGCGAGAGGCGGGGTCACCCTGGACAGGTCGCCAGTCTGGCAGGGCCACTCAAAATATCCCCATTCACTAAACACAAAGAAAGCAAAGTAATAATACTTACACCAGCGCATACTCCTTTGTTTTTATTGATCTTACGACGGTTGAGCTGCAAATGCGGTCGTGCACAAGTTTTGAGCCAAGCTAGGCATTCCGTATCAGATTTGGGAAATCTGTGAATTTTATCTCCACAAATATGATCAGGATACCTGACATCGCCTGTACAGATTCCCCACTGACAGTGGAGAACCATTCTTATTTGAGTTCTGTCGCAAAACCTTTGATTGTGTAGATTGTGGTCTGCTAGTCCACAATCTACATTAGCATTGTGTATACTACTTTAGCTTTTGTTTGTGAGACGGTCAAGCACGTGGTAGCTGCGCAGTGACGTCAAATGGGCATTAGCCAATGAAACTCGGACCCTGTGGTAAGGTCCATTGGACCCAGATGCATCAAGTTGATGTAGAAGTATTTAAGAAAAAAAATAGAGAGTGAGAATAAGTTGTTGGGGAGCTTGATTACTAAACAAGGAGCGGATGGCTCAACAAGAAACAAGTGGCAATTTAATTCCCATTCGGAATAAATAAAGTATTTTTGAATTGAATTTGAGGTGTGAAGGTAGTGCATTAGGCTTGTTGAGGAGAGAGAGAGAGAAAAAATGGCATAGGGGGCGAGGGAGAGAGCCAGTAAACGCAAGAGAAGAAGAAGGCCTGGGACGTCACGAAGTGTCATAGTTTAACACGAAGACTTAGAACGTTCAGATGACTCACTCTGTGGCCGAAAAGGCTCAAGTGAACAATGTTACATGTCTCACTCCAGTAACTGAATTTTTAAATAGACTTTTAACAGGACTACTTGTAGCAGCTTGATGAAGACTGTTATAACACCAAAATATTACGCTGTCCTAATTTGAAGACTGTGTTTTACAACTCCGGTTTTAGCCCGACACATAGTGATACATCTTGCCATATAGACTATCTTTGTTTGGAATAAGATGGCGTCGCATGAGGGACTAGCAGCTCTGGTAGGACTTTAATCAGAAACTGTTGTGTTTTCATGTACTGTGTGTGGTGTGTCTGTCTGTGAGCTGGTCCTGGTTAAAGGACACGGAGTCCCTGTGTGGAAAAAAACACAGTAGGGTGCGAGTTTAAGCGAAGAACCGCGAGAATTCACGAAAACACGTGTTGAGACTGACAAGCAGAAAAATAGTGGTCTGTGAGGAACTGCATGTCCAGATTCAGAGGACGTTTCCCCTGAAGCTGGGAGCTTCCTGATCACAGGTCCAACGTTTCAGTGTTCTGGTCTTCATAATGGCTTCATAATGGTTCTCTGATGGTTTTTACACTGGTTTCATGGTGGTGTTTTAGGTAAAATTGGGAGGGAGCCCACTACTTCAGATGAGCAGCAGTCCCACCCATGGCTCCCACCAGTGATCCCCTCATCTTCTCTGGAAAAATATTTTTCCAGCTGTCCCAAGCAGCCCAAAGGGGGAATACTCAGATACACTTGTAATCTCACCATTACAAGTTGCATTCCCATCTCTGTTTTTGTTTTTATTTCTTCTTTGATTTACTTTTATTGGAGTCTTGCAGTGAAATTTCGCTCAATATGTATATGCAGTTGAATGACAACAAAGCCCCATGTTCTATACATTCCACCGCATATGCTGTCAGACTGCTGGCAGTGTTAGACAAGCTCTGCACTGGTGGCAACACGATTCATTTAAAGTTCTTGATAGTCCAGGAAACACACACACACAGAATCACAACTACTGAAACACACACTCTGATTCCACTCTGGCTGCTGCATCCATCTAAACAGGAGTGTGTGTGTGTGTGTGTTTGTTTCCAGGGGGTGGAGGGAGCTTCGGCGGCTGCACACGCTCTGTCTCTGCCGGCGGAAGCTTACGGAAATGACGTGAGTGTCTTCTGTCAGATCCAGATCTGGATGTGTGGGTGAAACACTGATCCACCTTTCTGCTCTTTCAGCCCCGGCTTGAAGTCATGTGGGCGATGAAGGCCTACAACCACGCAGAGGTCTACTTCAATGTAACGATCCCACTGCCCCGCTAAGAACCGATCACACCACGGCGTTCCCTTCCAGATTCCAACATTTTATCCTTCTCTTTCAGCTCATCTCATCCGTCGATCCCAAGTTCCTGAAGCTGACAAAGGTGGACGACCAGATCTACTCGAGTTTCAGAGAAACCTTCAAAGACCTGGATGTGAAGCGGCTGAAAGAGGAGGACCTGAAGTCAGACAAAGCCAAGCAGGTCAGTTTGGTTCTGCTGCAGCGGAATGTTCCAGAGGATTCCTGGTTTCTCAGTCCGTTTCTCAGTCATATCGAAGACATTCTATAAAAAAAAACAAAACATGAGACTTCAGGGATCATAACGTCTGCAGTGAAACAAGAAATATTAATCTAAAGTGAATAATAACTTGATGAGATTTGCATGATTGATTTTTCTTGTTGATCCAACTGATGAATATGAACGTCATCCCACTGCTGCTGCACGCCCAGACCTGGCGCCCCTTCTGCAACCAGTTTGAGGGAATCGTGGAGGACTTCAACTACGGCACCCTGCTGCGTCTGGACTGTGAGAAGGACTACAGCGAGGACAACACCATATTTGGTGAGTTGGAGTGTCTCAGTGGACCAAAGGCGTCTCTCAGGGCAGAAAGTGAATATCGTGTTTTTGGTGATTTCAGCCACCAGAGTCCAGTTCTTTGCTGTGGAGATCGCCCGAAACAGAGAAGGCCACAACGACACAGTGTTCACATCCAAACGGGCAAAAAGCTAACCTCCAGTTCAACCAGCAAACACCAGTATGGACCCGTCTCACCCTCATCAGATGAACTGCAGGCACTGAGCAGACATTGCATGTTGTCAGTTTGCTCAACGCTGTTCACCATCAAGCTTTTTTATATTTCCTCTTAAGATTTATCCAGCGCTCGCTTCAGATAGAATTGTGTGTAAAAATATAACGTTGGTGGTAATTGGAATAAATAAGCAGTTTACCGCAGTGTGTCCGGTCTGTTGTTTGTAGCTCCAGAAGGAAAGACGGAAGAAATCAGAGGAATGAACTGACTAATATGCTGAGGAAAAGATTTCACGTTAGCTAATTGTGCTAATGGTTAGTGTCTGGCAGGAGATTCTGCAGCATCCGCTGTACAACCAAATAGTGACCTCCCATTGGCCATCAGATTGCTCAACACCAATAATCCCCCACTAAGACCATTTCAAAATGCTATGTTTTATATATATGTATTTATTTTATTCATCTTTTGTTTTACCTGCACCAGTTTATATATATATATATATATATATATATATATATATATATATATATATATATATATATGCCCACATATAGATTTTTCAGTATTTTTTCTGTATTCTCTGGTACCCAAGCATTTTGTTGCCAAATTCACTGTTGTCTTTGTGCAATGACAAAGTAATTAAGTCTAAAAACACAATTTTACCAATAATTTTTGTGCAGTTTCTAATTTTCTTATTCACTTGAAATAAGATAAAACAAAATTTTAAGAAACATATAGAAAATTGTTTCAAGTAAATTGCTTATCATTGATGAAAAAGTGATAGTTCCACATAAGTAGAACTAGTAATTTTTTAAAAAACAAACTGACCTTTTTATCTCCAAAATAACTAACACATGATCATTTAATCATTTTTACATTTGTTTCAACATTATTTTAATTTGTAAATTGGCCGGGTTGAAATGGGAGAAATTGCAGACGGAGTGCTGATGAGAATCAGATGGAATTGTAGGAAGGCCCTGGCTGATTAGACACTTAGCTCAAGTCTTTTTACACTGAATATGATCAGGTAACTAAATTTGATCAGTTGCTCCAGCTGATATCCAGCTAGCTAGTTATTTTTTTTGTTAAACAACCAAACCTTTGTTAAACCTGGTGGTGTTTTTCAAAGTGGGGGCTGTGGTTCCTTGGGGGTCCTCAGAATGTTGGAGAGAAGATAAAAAAAATTCAAGTATAAAAATGTACTTTTTTTCATTTTATATATTTTTTGTTTTAATCATAAGATGTATTCTGTTTTTCAATCATAATCAGCTGCCAGTCAAATAGCATAGCTTGCAAATTTCTGACAAGAAAAAGACAGAAGGAATCGACTGCTGAGCATAACCCTACGCACTCCTAGGAAACTGAAATTGGAAAGCAAAAGGCAGCATCTATGTCAAAAGAATGAGACTGAATCAATATCAATTTTGTAGCATTGTGGGTTCTTGCAAAGTGAATCCCTAACAGGAGCTAAAGGTGTTGGCAGGGTTTCCCCCAGTGTATTATAAGCCTGGCGGGCCACCAGGCTTTACTTGTGCCCCAACCAGGCTAAACATTGCTTATTAAAGTTTTTTTTTTTTTTTTAATGTTTGCATTTTTAAATGCAAACACCAACTTTGTAGTTGGTGTTCAGGTGTTAATCTTCTAATCTTTCAATAACACATGATTTTCAAGTGATATTTTCTTATTTCCTGTCAAATTAAAAAAAAAAAATTTAACTCAAAAACATGACGGGCCGCTGGTTGAACGACTGCCCTACCCTACCACCCAACCACCGGGCTTAGCAAGTTTTCTGGGGGAAACCTTGATATTGGGGAAAGAAAAACAGACCTCTGAGCCAGCTGAGGATCAGCATGAAGATCCAGAGGAACAAACCCACATTCAGCAGTGTTGTAAAAATCAATGAGGTTTATTTGCAGTCACAATGCTTACACTATATGTAGCAGACATCCAAACAACTCAAACAGCTATTCACTCTATGGACCCAACACATTCAAATCAGGGACACAAACCAAACTTAGGAACATCCGTGAGTGCTGACATGGTTAGAGATGAGCTAGTTGTCACAAACAGTTAGCAGCAACATCGTACAGAGTAACACACGTTGCTAAGAGACGCCTTTACACTGTCCCGACTTCTACTGAGGTTCTTCAGGCTGAGCTGGTCTCCATGTCTCCACGCTGGCTTCCCCTTCTGATCATTCAGTCACACACACACACACACACACACCTTGGCCATTTGAGCTCTACCGCAAGTTCACCAAGTGACAACACACACACCAGGCAACAGAGAGCCACTCCACTCCACACACACACATACACACACCAAAAGGACTTCACTGCAGGACCCAAACGGGGGTCCGAGGAATCCAGAGTGTAAACAAAATGGTGGATACTGCACCGAGCCTGCCAGAGGGGGAAACGGAGCTGCGACCATGTTGCTTACACGTCATCAAGCAGCAGGCGTGTGTGTGATGCCTGCAGGACCGTCAGGCTTTAAAGGAAAAATCTGCTGGGGGGGGGTTTGTTTTTCTGTTTGGGTTTTCTTTCTGATCAGCTGCCACATTCAGACTCCCGACTCTACGGCGTTCAGGCAGGACAGCAGAAACACTGCAGAGCAACTTAGTGCTGGTTGGTGGTAGAAGACTGAGGGAAGAAAGAAACACTGAGCAGATGTTTCACTGCAGCTGGAAAGCAAAGCAGCAGTGAGGAATGACGCACAGATGTTTCTTTAACTCCTTCAGAAAAAAAACTCCATAATGTTTAAAACTACAGCAGAGGAAGAGTCCGCCTCTAATCTTATGCGTGTTAATGCTCACTCTGCATTCTTTAGGTTTTATTGATTGTTTTTGTTTTATATTACAGATAACTTCCATATTTGGTCTCTGTTACAGGAATACCTCTTAAAGACTGCTTTTCTTCTTATGATCAAAATGGATGAAAAGCTAGCATGACTGAAACCCTTGGAGAAAACAGAAGAGTCCGGGTGGGATCACATCAGAACCACTTAACGTTTGATTTACTCTCACTGATGAAGCGATTTGGTGAAACCCAGCCAGAACACTGGCTGCGTATTAATATTCGTTTGTGGGGAAAGCCAGAAGTTAGTTAGTGTCACGTTCCAAAACTAAGAAGAACCGAGGAGCAGCAAACCCACGTGGGAGATTTCTCTGCTTCCTCCTGCTGGCTAACGTTTAGGAGCCATGTTGAAAGATTGGACTGAATAAAAACAGCAGAATGTTCCTTTAAGAGCTGCCTCCCTGCTGCTGCACAACTATTTACATCACTTCAAGCAGAGACTGAGAAAAATGTACAGCATGGTGCTCTGACTCCCTTTCTGTTAGTGTGTGTACCTCTGCCCCCCCTCACCCCCCACGCAGACGGACAGTTTGCACTAACTCACTACACTGTAAAAAGCTCAATCACACGTGGGTTCAATCCTCAACTCATCATCTGGTTTAAATTCGATCATTATAAACATTGTTCAAAATGTTACGAAAAAAAATTTACACTTTGTTTTGTTTTTTTTCTGTGTGTTTTCTATACAAGGCAGGCAGAAGCGGGTTACTACGGTTACCGGTGTTCGTCCTCTGCGGTCCCGTTTCCTCCGTTTCTCAGCCACAGCACTCTTGCCTTCCTCTGTCAGTGATTTAGAGTGCCAAGACGTGCCAAGACATGCAACCCCCCCACCCCCCACTACCAGACCCCACCCCTCCCTCCCCCCTCCGCCAGGTGAGTCAGACCAACACGGACTGGCTTTAAAATAGATCTGTATATATTTATATATGCTTATATCAAAAAGAAGGCGGGAAAGTTTAGCCAATGTGGTGTTGGGATGAGCAGATGTTCCCTTAGGCAGCCCGGCCCAGGGAGGAAGCTGGGGGGAGTGGGGGGGAGGAGGATGCAGGGTGGGGGGCAGGGGGGGCGCCCGCTCTGCGGCTGGGTGAGGCTCTGCTGTGTGGAATGTCAGCTCATCATGTCGTTGCTGTTGACGCCGTACGTCGAGTTCTTCATGCTATCGTTGACTTCCCTCCTGAACACGGACAGGTTCTGTGTGAACCTGCATGGACACACACACACGCACACACACACACACACGACTTTAAACTTCAACCATCACAGATCAAAGATTCAGATGGTTTTACAAGAGTTCGACTTTAAAAACAGATTCTGCAAAAGGAGAGCAGAGGGCCAGGTGGACGGGCATAAATAAAGTCTCACTACACTGGAAGGTTCTATTAGTACCAGAACATACTGGCCCACTTAAAGGGACGGTGCTGTGTGTTTTTCCAGTCACATAGTGCCATATTATAGCAGTCAAGTAATTATATTAACTTCATTCAGTTGTAATGACAATACTTTACATATCAAAGATGACTAAAATGAAATTTTACTTTGATATTTACAGTCTTGAAATTGGGCCTCTGTCTCTTTAAAAACTGCTCTTTCTGAAACGCCGCCTTCAGAAAGTCATCACAACATGGCTACTCTATTAACCCTTTCACAACGTTTTTATCAGCATTGCACTAAGAAGTAGCTCCTATAATGAGCTCAGCAGATCCACAGTTTCACCAGGTGTTGCTAATTACTGCTGGCTAGTCTGAAGGAGTTGAATGGGAGAGGAAAGTCGATTTTAAGCAATACTGCTTCAAATCGACTCTGAGTACTCTGCTCCAGTTAGCCAACATGGACATTAACAGGGTCACTTCTCACCTGCAGTTATTGTGGGATTTGTAGTTTAACCAGCACAGACTGCTTGAAGGGACCCCGGCCCTCAGGAAGACAGACAGCCTGAAACCCAACCCACCTGTCTCGATTCTTTGTTAGAAGGTTTCGCTCTATTCCCTCCATCAAGTTCTCAAAGCATAAGTGCATGGCCTGCTGCTTCTCAGGAGGCTGGCTGCTGACGATGCTGTTCCTCAGGTCAGCGAAATACTGCAGGACACACAAACACACACATCCGTTGAAACACACTTCAAAGACAGCAGCAGGTGAGAGCAGAGGGAGGAGCTCACCTTCTCATTGAGCAGGATGAGGCCCAGCAGGGGCCGGGACATGGACCACTGATTCCTGCAGTCCTCGAAGATGATGATGTTCAACACAGTGGACAGCATCTGCAGGACGACACAGAGACGGTCAGTCTGAGCGGACACAGCGCGCCACCACGGGAAGCTGCGAGTTGATTGGTCTGACCTGCTGGATCATCT